ATGCTGCTCATCAGCCAATTGAAATGAAGTCTGATAATTGAAGCTGAATTTATCATTGACCATTTAGTAGTCAAAGAAATTGGCTCTGGGGACTTGTGAAAATGGTCCTGTTATCAAACAGCACTCAGAAATAGTGCTTCTTCAGTAAGTGACCTCTCCTATAACTGCCTCAAACTTTCATAGCTTATTTTTTTAATTTTTTAAATTTTTGTACTGAGCTCTATGCCCATTGTGGGTCTTGAACTCATGACCCCGAGATCCAGAGTCACACGCTCCACTGATTGTCAAGCCAGCCAGGCGCCCCCCTTAAACTTTCATAATTTAAACAGGTGGATCCACTGGAGACAATATTTGGTTACCATAGCCTTCTATACTACCAGTCAGATAAGGTATTCAATAAGAATTTAATTAGTTTTTATTGGATTAATATGTGCTTCCTAAGTGTGAAGTGAAGAGAATCTGATGACTTACTAGTGACCACTGGCACCTAACACCCCTATCCTGGGTCTTGTGATCCTGATGCAGCAGGGTCCAGGGCTGGCAAGTGCGTTTGGTCACTGACATCCTTTCTAGGATTGACTTACTTCAGCCTTGGCCTTCTCACGTGACACTGAATGTTGACCTCTAATCCCCCAAATAGCATGTTATACAGGATGGTGTCCATCTGACTTTTAAGTACTACTCTTAAGCCCTGGATTTGTTCATTATTTTTTTTTTTTTAAGATTTTATTTATTTGACAGAGAGAGAGAGAGAGAGCGAGAGCAGGAACACAAGCAGGTGGAGGGGAAGAGGGAGAAGCAGGCTTCCCGCTGAGCAGGGAGCCTGATGTGGGGCTCAATCCCAGGACCCTGGGATCATGACCTGAGCCGAAGGCAGATGCTTAACGACTGAGCCACCCAGGCGCCCTGGATTTGTTCATTATTATGTTCAGCCTACGAGGTAGGCTGCTTAGTGACTTGGAAGTTTCAAAACAAAGTTGACTGAGCCAGGATGAGGTTGTTGCATCTTTTCAAACCTGTACCTTCCTACCTTGTGTGCCAGCTAGACCCACAGGATAGTCCTTTTAAATCAGCTAGTAAATCTCCTAAAATTTTCTAAATATATACTCCTACCCTTTCTCTCTCTCTGTTTGCCTAGTTCCTGGCACCACAAAAAACTCAAATGGTTCATTTTTTACTTCCACGTGTGTAAATATAAATATATTTATGAATTATTTAAAAAATCTCTCCACAAATACTCATATGCTCTCATGCTGACACATCATTGGAAGGTAAAGTGAAGTGATGTTCCTTAATCTCTTCCTTGTATTAGGTGGTAGGAGAGATTATTAGAGCATCACCTGAATTTGTTTTTCCTCACTTCTCCCCATTGGTGTATTCTTAACAAGATATTCCATTATGCTGACCTCCCTTGCTTTCAAATAACTACTTGACACTGGGTGTTATACGCAAACAATGAATCATGGATCACTACATCAAAAACTAATGATGTAATGTATGGTGATTAACATAACAATAATAATAATAAAAACTACTTGACTATAGGTAACAGCAATCAGAGTGATATAGTCATGGACGAATTGATTCTGGAAATATCTAGCTATATACTATTAGCACTAAAATGAATAGGAAAGATCACCTAAAGCAAAGAAAGTAACTGAATCCTGTAGCGATGTTTTTCTTTTAAGATTCTGACCATTACAGGGGCACCTGGGTAGCTCAGCTGGTTAAGCCTCTGTATTAGGCTCAGGTCATGATCCTGGGGTCTTGGGATCAAGCCCTGGGTCAAGGCTCCCTGCTCAGTGGGGAGTCTGCTTCTCCCTCTGCTCCTCCCCCTGCTCATGCTCTCTCTCTCTCTCAAATAAATAAATAAAATCTTAAGAAAAAGAAGATTCTGACCATTATATAGCCAGATATAGAGGGGGGGCACCTGAGTGGCTGTCGGTTAAACGTCTGCCTTTGGCTCATGTCCTGGGATCAAGTCACACATCTGGCTCCCTGCTCAGTGGGGAGTCTGCTTCTCCCTCTACCTTGCCCCCCTGCTCGTGATCTCTCTCTCATTCTCTCTCTCTCAAATAAATAAATAAAATCTTTAAAAAAAGATATAGAGGGGACATGACTTAGACTGTGTTTTGACTATAGTGTTGCAAGTATGGGTCATGCAAGCTAACTTAAATGCTTGGGGAGTGTGGTATTAGCTAGATGCTTAAGCATTGTGTGCAGCTTGTAGGGTGAAGCATAATGCCTACCACCAGTCTTAGGCTTTTTTTGTCATTTATGGTTGGTGACTCCCACCTTTAAAACAAACTGTAGCTGCATGAATTGTGGTCAGCAACATCTTTGAATTCTCCTCCTCCTGTCAATTCACGATGCGGTATCTGGCACCTCGTGAGAACTTAATAAATGTCAAGTAAATGACAAATGACTAGTTTCATGAAATCCACATCATAATAAAGACAGGATTTTGAATAAGTTCCTGAATTACAGATTATTTTTATAAATGGTCATTTTAATATAAAAGTCAAAATTTTAAATGTGCAATGATTAAGAACGGTGACAAATATACATATCAGTAGTTTACCACTGAGTTAATTTATACAACGTATTTACTAATAATGCAACTAAGAGTCTAATTTCACTTCCAACCCCTAATTGTTGTATGCTCATGTGTAGTAATGACATGTCTGGCTATGTAGTATTTATCCACTGCTTTATAATAAGCCCACAAAAATCAGCTCTGTTAATGGGAAAATAAACGGGTTTTATCATACTACAAAAATCATTATTGGTATACATCTCCTTTGTATTTACTTGGCTCCAGGCTTTACTTAAAGGCATTTTTGAAATGCAAAAATGAGCTTCATATATCTTCAGACTAGGCAAAACAAGTAAAAACCTCTTGATTGATTAGCCAATTAGCACTAAGTACTAGTGTTAATTTATCTGCATATTTAAGAGTCTGTTAGGAGACCATGGTAGAAATTAAGTACCTATAAATAAACCAAAGGGAAATACATCAAAAGGAAAAAAAATATTTTCCAAGGTAACCATGTTAAGCAGGATAACAGTGATAATGGAGATATGGTCAGTGGAGGGGACTTGGAAGCATACTAGATTCAGGCATCAGCAGACTCCGCTGGGATCAGTGATTTAAATGCTCCCTCATCTGGCAAACAGAGGTTAAGGCAGTAGACTGCCAAGAACTTATTACCATGCATTTTCTTTGGAATGGTAAGTACTCAGTTGGCTTTGGTAGAATAACTTGACTTAACTTTGCTCTTGTACTCCATGAAAGCTGCTATCATTCCATCAGTCTCATTATCAGGCTCTGCCTACATTGGGTTCTTTAATTTATTTTCTTTAATATGGAATAAAACATAGGATAATGAATTATTCACAGTTCCTACCGCTAGAATCTTACTGATTTATGTAATCAGCCTACCACTTGGTTGGCTTGAGGAAGTTATTTAAATCTCTAATTCCCAGTTTCTGTGTCTGCAAAACTTGGTGTATTGGCATCTTGATGTCTTTTCCAGAGAATGTATGTGATGATTAAGTGAAATCCTTCTTCTTCTCCTTCTTCTCCTTCTCCTTTCTTCTTCTTCTTCTTCTTCTTCTTCTTCTTCTTCTTCTTCTTCTTCTTCTTCTTCTCCTTCTCCTTCTCCTTCTCCTTCTCCTTCTCCTCCTCCTCCTCCTCCTCCTCCTCCTCCTCCTCCTCCTCCTTCCCTTCTTCTTCTTCTTCTTCTTCTTCTTCTTCTTCTTCTTCTTCTCCTTCTCCTCCTCCTCCTCCTCCTCCTCCTCCTCCTCCTTCCCTTCTTCTTCTTCTTCTTCTTCTTCTTCTTCTTCTTCTTCTTCTTCTTCTTCTTCTTCTTCTTCTTCTTCTTCTTCTTCTTCTTCTTCTTCTTCTTCTTTTAAATGAAGTCCTTCATGTAAAGCACTATGTTTAGTATGGAGTAATAATTATATAAATATTTTTTTCTTTTTATTGAAATATAACTGACATACAATGTCTTAGTTTCAGGATGTCTGGGACTTAAAAAAAGATGCCTATCAATATGTCTATAAATATATGCTGTAAAAATGTTATAAGTGTGAAGAGCATATATATGAAGGGATTTAACAAGGGAAACTTACACATGGTTTAAATGGAGCACTGATAATCACATCCTGGGTCCCTCCTAATGCCGATGAGAGCTCGGGGGAAATGCTGTTACTGCATTCAAGCCTTACCCGGATGCAACCATATCTTTCACTGAAGTTGGCCACAGTCAGTTTTCCCTCATTATCTTCTGACTTTTTCCCCCTCATTTTTAAAAATGAAGCTTAATCACATAAAAAAGGCCACCATCCACCCTTCCCTCACATCTGTTCCTGCCTCATGTAGCTGCTCAAGTCACACTCTTGCTGTGTCTGGGAAAAGCGAGGTATGGGATGACTGTGCTTTGACTGATCAGTGTTGGAATTTAACTCCCAAATTGTTACCTTCTATGGCCTCTGATCCTGGCGGTACCAATTTCCGCTCTGTGAATCGGTTGTCGCCTAATAAGTCCTTCAGTTTTTTCATCTATATAATGGGGGTTATCATATTACCTACCTCCTAAAATCATACTCCTTGAATGAATTAAAGCAAGTAACACATTCAGAACAGTGTCTGGCAAATAAGAAGTCTTCAAAATGATCATTTTATTAATAATATTATCATTCATCACCATCATCCTGTACATTATTTGTATCTCCGTTGACCACATCTAAAGCTTATATAAATAACAACTGTTTTTTTGTCTGTCAAACTGATTAAATATAAATTGTATGAGCACAAGATATAATGTTTCCATTGTCCACTACTGTATTGCCTCTGATAGAAACATGCCTGATAATCAGTAGATATTTGTAAAATAAATGAGCACAATTTATATTTTTTTAAGTACGTATTACTTTTCATTCTTAATTTTTTACATAAACATTTTCTTCATGGAACTCACAGTTCATTCTTCTCTTACCTTAACTCTCAGTTCACATCCTGATTCTGAGCTCATCTCCACGTCTCTAGCATACTGCCCAATGCTCACAAGCAGAAGTTATCAGTTGGATCCTGAGGGAGAGGGAGAGGAAGGCTTCAGTTTACAAAACTGATTTACCTACTTGACCATTACATGATTCACAAATGCATTCTGTATATACATATTTGTACACAGAACATACTACTGAATAGAATTAGGGTTCCCACATATGCCAGTCCTATACTAGTTGTTATTCATGTGCCCTGTGATCTAATACTATAAAATTTACCTAGTGTAATTATGCTAGTATATCAGTATACTAATAAGCATCAGATAACTAAGTACCAGAAAAGACCATTGGGATTGGAAATGTTGTCTTGACTTCCTGCCCAAAGTAACTACTCTATTACCATGGGCAGAAGAGAGTAATAATACCACGAAGTCAAAAATTTTCAAAAGAAAGGGATACTATAACATTGATTTTATTTTTAACTCCTTAGATGATAGATTAATTTATAGGTAAGATTTATTTCAATGTATTTCCTGAAAGTAAGATTTGGGACAAAAAAATGAGCATTCGAAGAAATCTGCTTGGTCGTTTATTAAGTGTAGTTGCTAGATACTGAATTGGGACAAATAATCATTTTAATGACTACTCAGTGAAACTCTAAGACCAGGAAGAGAGCAGGATTGAATGTTCAGGATAACAAACACGATGTGTCAGAGGGCAGAAGAGTGAATACTGGCTGTAGACTCTAGGCTCTGCCCCTTCCCAGTTCTTTAACCTTTCTGACATTCAGTACTGCAGTCTAATTGGGGACCTGATCACATGCAGTGCAACAGGACAACCAAACAAATGAGAAGGAGCCTTCCAGAGACAATTTTGTGTTATAAAGATATATGGTCATCGTGGGAAATAAAGTTTAATTAGTGTTGCTTACACTTATTTTATGGTTTCATATTTCTTTTTAATTGTATATGGAAGTATACACAAAATCTTGTCAGTACTTCAAGCTTCTCAATATCTTAATCCTTTTCTGTGCCCTTCAATGACCTCATGTATAAAACTGGAAAAATAGTATCTACTTTTCATACTTGCAATAATAGCCATGGGAGCCAAATGATTTACACTGTGTTTAGCCCATAGTATATACTTAAGAATTTGCACTTTCGGGGCGCCTGGGTGGCTCAGTTGGTTAAGCGACTGCCTTCGGCTCAGGTCATGATCCTGGAGTCCCGGGATCCAATCCTGCATCAGGCTCCCTGCTCAGCGGGGAGTCTGCTTCTCCCTCTGATTCTCCCCCTCTCATGCTCTCTCTCTCTATCTCATTCTCTCTCTCAAATAAATAAATAAAATCTTTAAAAAAAAAAAAGAATTTGCACTTTCCCAAATATCTTGGGCTATAGAAGTTCTTGTAGAATATTTAACAAGAATGATTACATTGCGGTTTAAATTGTAGTTTAGGAAAGCGTTGAAAATTAGGGTTTAATAACAACCTCCATCCTTCCCTCTGAGTTTAGAATTGGTCGAGAAACAGAGACAGCAATCAGCTTTAGGAGTATTAATTTTAAATTTATTAATATAAAATATGGATTGCAGGATATGATTAGGGTATACAGCCATATGCAGCTTTATTATATTCTGCTGCCAAATGGAAACTACCTGCCAAACTACAGGCATCTCCATGCAGGACCAGAGTCTTCCTCTGGGAGTTTACCTGATGGGAAAGTAGATAAATGTTTCCTCCTTATGCTGGGAAAGAGAGAGAGACAGACAGGCAAGCAGGCAGAAGGGGCCTACATGGGTCTACATAGGTCAAAAGAACCTACCATCAGTCCTGTTGGATTTCACTACTGACTGAAAAATAAGCCTGTTTTGAAAACTAACATTACACAAGTGTATGAAGCTATGCTTAACTATTAGAAAATATTATATGCTTTCTTCTAATAATTTCCTTACGTAATTTTTTTGCCAACAGTTGACATCATTTAAGTTATTTTTCTGCCAATTCTGTCAGTATAATTTGATTGAATACAATATGAAATGGAAAGCGATGGGACATAATCAAAAGTAATAATCCTTGCTGTTTGGGTGAATCATAGGGCTTGGTGACATTTAGCTTGTACAAGGAACTTGTGAGTTTTAATCTCCTCAAATTTATTCTAGAAACTACTTCAAGAATTTTGCTCTCAAAGAGAAGTTTTGAGATTTGATTTTCTTACTAGAGGCAAATGCCCTTTGTTATAGATGACTTATTTTAGCTTGTAAATATGGCAAGATGTCTTGTTTAAATCTAATTTTAGTTTTGATGTCTTGTTGTATATCATTTCTAACTGAAGAGTATCAATTTATTGCATGTTAAATCTGGAAGGAGGATTCACAATACTCTCCAGGCCAACCAATCTATTTATCTTACAAATGATTAAACAATTGAGAAACGTTGACTTGCAATTATTCAGATATCTGCTCCTATGGCAGGATATCTGATGATTGACTCAGTGAGGAAAGAAGCTAGGACCATTTATTGTCTGATCCTTTACCCTCCCTTCCTATTATATAGATATGGTTATGCCTATATATATTTACTGCAGTGATAGGTTTATTTTTATATGGGAAATTTCCATGGAACAGAAGGTTACAGTTCCTTTTCAGCTTATCCAACCTTCAAAAGAAAATGTATCGATAAATAGTAAGCATAATTTTCTAGTAGTAAGGTCTTAATGAGAGCTATCAAATAAACCTAGAGTAGAAATTATTCTCTTTTCTTATCATTAGACCCTCCTTTAACTTATGTTCTCTATAAATGGTAAGGTCTGGAATTCAGTAGTGACCTTCTAGAGAAAGAATTAAAGGAGTTAATTCATTCTTTTGTGTCTAAGTCCCAGGTCCCTGAAACTTAAGCTTGACCATCCTATGTGGTTTTACCAACCTTGTACATAGACTGCTTTGGGGTTTGGGAACAAATCTTCATATGGCAATTGTAAAATAATATAATTATAATATTATAATATAATTATGATACAATAGAGAGAAGACTATTTACTGGGACTTTAATTTCCCTATATAAAAGAGGAGAGAGGAGGTAATTAGGGAACTTTAAATTCTCTGTAGTTCATGGGGTTCACCTAAAAATGAATGGATGTGTATTTGCTCAGGTTTATAGTGTAGTTGAAGATTATGGACATTTAACAGGAACTATATCATGTAAAATACACCATCAGGAGTTATAAATTGAATAATCAAAAAAAATTGTTAAAATAATTGTTTCATGTAAAAGAACAAGAAAAATAGGATTATTTATTTTCTAGTGCATTATAGGAAGAATGATTTTAAGTATTAAAATTTAAGTTTTGCCCAGATGAAAATCAGAGCTTATTTGGCCAGGATCCATATGACATTAATAAGGATATTAAGGTGGTGGATTTTCCCTTTTATTGTTCTCAGAAAAATTCCATGAAAGGATAATTGTGCAAATTATTCCATTAAGGTTCAAGGCATCTCTCACATTTCTCCTCAGAAATATCAATGTCTCTGCCCTCTGAATGTTTGGCTATTAAACTCACTGAATTAAAAGAAAACAAAAAAAATCAAACAGAAAGGGTGAACTGTCCTCAAGTATAAGATCAATTTACCCTCTTCCTATGCTTTGTATACTCACTCTCACATAGGAGGATTTTTTTGTTCACAATCATTATAGTCAAAATACTAACGAGGTTACCTATGCTAGGAAGGAAACTTTTGCACAATTGGCACATATTAGCATATATTTAGAAAGCCATCTTCTGATTCTCCACCCATGAATGTGATACAAGATGGTGGTTGAGAGATTTACTTGGTTGTTAAGGGGTACATGTTGCTAATTTATTATAATCCAAAATTTAAGGCTGGGATAAAAGTTTAGGCCAAAGGGGTTCTCCTTTTTCTAGATAGTCTAGTTCTGCTGATTAGAAATAAAGTTCTATATTGGAATTTGGGGCTGGAAACAACTAGTAAGGAGAGGTTTCTTTGTTGACTCATGTCCTGAGTATAGATCCCTTATTTGAGATTCCTCTGGATTGGCAGGTGGCTGATATAAGGCATATCTTACATATTGAGGGGTCCAGTTCCAAATGCCAAATCCTTTTCATCTTTTGAGACACAGCTTATAATTTCAAATAAATCTCTTAAAATTTGTGATGCCTATTCTGATAGATAAGTTCTTGGCATTCATAGATCTTTTGGCCATCATTGGAGAGCCTTTAGCTGGTTAATGGATCCCTAAAAATAATATGCAGTATTTTCCATGCATTTTCCTAGAAAGAAAATTAAGCCTGCATGAGAGCATCAATAGGGTTTATGATTCTTCCTCTTAAATATAAGAACATTTATCTATGAACAATAAACAAAGAGAATCCATTGCCAAATGGAATCCACAAATGTCATTGTTGAATGACCACTTTTTGAAACACTCTAGGCTAGCAGTGCTTAGGATTTGTAATCTGGCCATCCCACAAATCACTCATTGACTATTAGTGTTAAATACCAAATGCTGTGAAAGTAATACATATTTTGAGGAATATAATGAGGAATTAGACTCACTATTGTCAACAAATTCATAGGTTAGTATAGTAGTAGTAGTAGTGATAATTATGTGAATGTGATAACTTTAAATGGTGTTCAATCTATAGAATCTCAAGGTCACTTATGTATTTTTATGTTATATATTGAAACAAACATGCAGGTGTTGCATCATTAAATTATATAATAGGTGTTACTAGTAGTGTGACTTCTGAACCTTAGTTTCCTTTTCTTTAACACAGACTAAATAATATATTTTCAAAAGATTGCAAAGAGGCTAAATTAGAAAATCAAGATAATTTGTAAGCCTTTTGGCATGAAGGTTTTAATAGATAGTAGACATTCTAAAGTTAATCATAATATTCGGGAATGTAACTTACTTTGCTACCGAAAATAATCAATCTACTATGCCCTATTTTTTCCAAAATAATAATTTAATTTTAATAAATGCACTGGGCTGAGCTTACAGTATTTCCACATAAAGATTACACCCAAAATACTAATGACATTTGAAAGATGAATTTGTAAGACAGA